ACAGGTCGCGGCGGTGGTGTTGCGATTATATCACACACCAACTTGGTTCTTAGTCCCAAAACCAACAACGCTTTTCACTCGTTTGAAAACTTAACACTTTCAATCACCTGTCTTGGGTGGAGAAAACAAAAAGCAGTACTATTTATAGTTTTATACCGACCTCCTGGTCCTTACAGCGAGTTCCTAACAGAATTCTCTGACTTCATTTCAAACCTAGTTTTGGAATGGGAAAACATAGTTATAGCTGGAGACTTCAATATACATGTGGACGACAGCACTGACAGCTTAAACAAAGCTTTCAGCGCCGTACTAGATGGTGTTGGTTTTACTCAGAATGTCGAGGAACCTACTCACATTCATAACCACACCTTGGACCTTGTCCTGACCTACGGCTGTGATGTCTCCAATGTTGACATCCAGCGTCAAAGCTCGTTGCTGTCTGACCATTTCTTGATCACGTTTGATCTCGCTTTGGAGGACTTTCCTGTCCCGCAAGATAAAACCATAATGAAAAGAACCTTAAATGATAAATCTATCACAAGGTTCAAAGAACTAATACAGCCTATGTTGAATACTGCTGCAGGTGAACCTGTTCACAGCAGCTGCAGTCCCTCAGTCATTGACCAAACGGTGGGCAACACTATGGAGTCTTTAAAATCTGCATTAAATGCAGCAGCTCCTTTAAAACAGAAAACTATTAGGATTAGATCATCGTCGCCCTGGTACAGTGTTCAACTCCACACTTTAAAACAGGACGTCAGAAAATTGGAGAGGCTATATCGCCACTCCCACTCGGAGCCTGTCCACAGGGAGTGGAAAGCAGGTCTCCGAAACTACAAGAAGGCCCTTCGCGGGGCTCGAACTCAATACTATTCAACTTTAATAGAAGCGAATAAAAACAACAGTAGATTTTTGTTTGGTACCGTCGCTAAACTCACAAACTGCCATAGCGCAATCGAGCCTAAAATTCCAAGCTCACTGAGCAGTGTCGACTTTCTCCACTTCTTTAATAATAAAATTACATCCATCCGTGACAAGCTGGAGGAGGTTGCTCCTGCTGTTAGTGGTGGACAGGTTGAAGCGGCATACGTGACTTCCCACTTAGACTCTTCAGTGGGCCTTAATAAATTCATGGCTGTGAGCCAAGCAGAGGTGATCTCTGTGGTCACATCCTCAAAAGCCTCAACTTGCATGTTAGACGCAGTCCCGACATGGCTCTTCAAAGACATACTTCCTTTGATAATTGAGCCTATCGTAAATATAATAAACGCATCCATACAATGTGGCTATGTCCCACAAGCTTTTAAAACCGCGGTAATCAAACCCCTTCTGAAGAAAACAAACCTGGACCCAGAAATACTTACAAACTACAGACCGATCTCAAACCTCACTTTTATATCTAAAATCCTGGAAAAACGTATAGCTGAGCAGCTCCGCTGCCACCTGCAGGAAAATAATATGTTTGAAGTCTTTCAATCAGGATTCAGAGCTCATCATAGCACTGAAACGGCACTAGTCAAAGTCACAAATGACTTACTACTAGCTGCCGATAATGGACAAGTGTCAGTGCTGGTCCTACTGGACCTTAGTGCTGCATTTGACACAATAGACCACAGCATTCTACTGCAGAGGCTAGAATGTGATATAGGTCTTAGAGGAACAGCCCTTGGCTGGTTTAAATCCTATTTATCAGATCGATATCACTTCGTCAATGTGAATCAGGACTCGTCGCCTTATTCTGGAGTGGAATTCGGTGTGCCGCAGGGTTCGGTACTCGGACCGATTCTTTTTACTCTCTACATGCTGCCGTTGGGAAACATTATTAAAAAGCATGGAATTAATTTCCACTGCTATGCAGATGACACACAGCTTTATCTGTCGATGAAGCCTAATCAGACAGATCAGCTAGAAAAGCTCAGTGCCTGCATAAAGGACCTTAAAATGTGGATGACTCTTAACTTCCTACTTCTCAACCCGGAGAAGACAGAAGTGATCCTACTCGGTCCGAAGCGCCTGCGTGACTCCCTCACTAACCAGATGGTTACTCTCGATAATGTCAGTATAATACCCAGTAACACTGTGAGGAATCTTGGAGTCATTTTTGACCAAGAACTCTCCTTCAAGGCTTATATAAGCCAAGCAACTAAAACGGCGTACTTCCACTTACGGAACATCGCTAAAATTAGGAATTTCCTTCCTAAAAGTGACGCGGAAAAACTCATTCACGCGTTTGTCACCTCAAGGCTCGACTACTGTAACGCTTTACTGGCAGCGTGCCCTAAAGCCTCTTTGAAGAGCTTCCAGCTCGTTCAGAATACAGCAGCTAGGATCTTAACAGGTACCAAAAGGAGGGAGCACATAACTCCGGTGTTAAAATCACTCCACTGGCTCCCTGTGGAGTACAGAATAAAGTTTAAAATCCTACTCTTAACATATAAAGCCATAAATGGCTTGGCTCCTTCTTATCTCCAAGACACGTTAGTGTCGTATCAACCAGGTCGAGCGTTGCGCTCACAAAACGCCAGACGTCTGGTGGTCCCTAAGGTCTCAAAGGTCACTGTTGGTGGCAGAGCATTTAGCTACCAAGCTCCTTTACTGTGGAATCAGCTTCCCATTTATGTTAAGGAAGCAGATACGGTCTCCACATTCAAGGCCAGGCTTAAAGCACTTTACTTTAATTTAGCATATAATTAGGTAATATATAATATTAGTGTATATATTATATATATATGCTGTATTATGTTATATATTATGTTATATATTATTCAATAATGTATTGTGTTATGTTGTATATTATGTTATATATTATGCTGTATGTTATTCTTTATTCAAGGCTAGGTTTAAAACAGTCCTCTTTAGTTTAGCATATGGCTAGGAAGGTAAGACTCTGAGAAGGTTAAACTCCTCAGAGTGTTAGTCAAGCTGCATAGGGAGTCAGTTTGCTGGGAGAAGTATGGTAACTTGAGCACTATCCTCTCCTCCTTCCTACTTTATCTGTTTAGCATTTTTAGGATTCTGACTGTAGTTTGTTCATTGCTATTCACCCGTTGTCCCATTGTCTGTTTCATGGTACGATGACGGGATCTCTGAGCCTGGCCTCTTCCATCTACACCTGCGGACTGCCCCGCCCGACCCGCCTGGGAGTGCTTCAGTCCTGCACCGGACCTGTCCACGTTCAGCGGCCACTGGTCCACGTAGCTAGCTTAGGTCCTGGATCATTAGTCTGTCCGTCCGGAGGAGCGGATCCCTTTCTCATATGGGTCTCCCTCCCTGTGGGTTTCCCTAGTTCTCCTCCAAGGTTTCTCACTTTTTCCCACTGGGTTTTTTAAGAGTTTTTCCTTGTCGATGCAGGAGGGTCTTGTTGGACAGTTAGTGTCCAACAGAAAGGATTGGTGATGATCAGGACACTTTAGCATTCTACAACATGTATGGACATTTTCTTCTGTGTGTGCTTTATACTGTATTCTTCATGTGTTTTAACTGTTGATTCTCTGACCTGTGTTGGTGATTTCAATGGTTTTGTTAAGTCCTCTGAGATGACTTCTGTTGTGACCTAGGGCTATACAAGAATAAATTGTATTGTATTGTGTACCAAAACCAATGGTTGACTGCGGAAGGTTCCGCAGTCAATCAATAAACTTGCCTTGCCAATGTGCCACCGTGCCGCCCACATTAACACTAGAAGCAGATTTAAGACTGTGTCAATTCATATAGGGATATGCTTGAAATGGCAGTGAAAGAGTGTTGAACAAAAGCTCGTTGACATTAGACCCACACACACAGCGCTTGAATCAAACAAGGAGGACTGGCAGGTTTGACAGGGATTCCATCATAATCCCCCTTCTTACCCTCTCCTTTGCAGACTATACTACTGATAAACAACAGCTGTACAAAGCATGATCAGGGCTTTGTTGGGACAGACTAAATGCATTTGATGCACTTTGGGAACCACAGAACTAAAGCTAAAACATTGCAGACAGCTTTGATTCAAAAGGTTGTGGTTGAGAGACTTCAGAGCATGTGTGTTCCGTGGGTAAGGAGATAATCATGTGGCACTCTAATGGGGCGTTCAGACCGGGTCATGCGTTGCGGCGACTTTCAATGCAAAGTCAATGGTGACGTGCGTTCAAGCGTGGAACTTAAACTGGGATTAGACCGTTGTGAGACAGGTTAGTTTTACCCTACTGATGATGTGTTGTTGCAATAGTAATCCGGTCTGTAATGGACAGACAAAGAATTTGATAGTAATCCTAGAAATATTAAACAAAGCTAAATGTCACGGCCTGGATTTAAGAACTTTGAGAATGTAGCATATAATAACAATATGAAGAGTATATATTTTTACATTTTCTCCTGGTGGTTTGCCGTGAGATAATTTCAATGAAAAGTGTGCCTTGGCTCAAAAAAGATTGAAAAACACTGTTTAAATGGATATCACAACCGGTTATGGGCCCAGCACGCTGTCTGGCCAACGTTTCAGCCGGCAGCTGTTCAATGGTGACGCGAGGAACTATGAACTTTGGGAGACAAGATTCCTCGCCCATTTGGAATTGTGTGGGCTTGCTGGAACACTGAAGACTGTGCCGATGTTCGATTGAGGATGCAAGAGCTGCAGACGTCTTGAGGAATGGATCGGCGTTTGCAGAGTTGGTTCAAGATTTGGACAATAAAAGTTTGTCGCTGATTATGAGAGAAGCGGACGGAGACGGGCGCAAGGCGTTGAAGATACTTCGCCAACATTATGCAGGCAAGGGAAAGCCACATGTAGTGAGTGTTAACTGCAAGCTGTCAGCCCTCCACATGCAGAGCAAAAAGACTGTTAAAGGCAGAAGAGAACATAAGTGATGGTCTGCAAGATGCAATTGTGGTGAAAGCTTCTTTAAGCCGTTTGTGGTCAACATCACACAGATGAGCGAACGTTCAGTGACTTTGAGACAAAGCTGATACATTTTGAGGACACTGAAAGATACAAGCCAAGCAATCTCACAGAAGACAACGTGATGAAAGCAGCGGGGGCAGCTGCCTACGGGCCTCATAGACCAGGCAGAGAGCGGAGGAAGGAATCGGCCGAGATCCAACGCCACAAATGCCGTAAGATGGGAGATATGGCAAGGAATTGTCCCAACGCGTATGAAGAGAGGCAACAGGACCGCAGAAGTGACACGCCACGCCGAGGGGGACAGCACGACTCCATGGCAGCAGCAACGGGAGAAGAACATCGACAAGGAGCCACAGACTGCTGGGAGCGCTGGGCTCGACCCATTAAGAGCGCCAGGGACCAAGACGGACCCTGCTCCTGGAGCGCCTACCGAGAAGCAGCAGATGATGGAGACAAGGACTACTATACAGACAACAGGTCACATTGTTTTAAATTGGGTGATAACAGCAGTTCAAAGGGGGCAGTCAATGTTAAAGGTTTTCTAGTTGATTGTGGTGCTACATACATTTGCATATGATAAATGACTTTGAAAAGTTTAAGAACATTGATAAAGACTTTAAGCCTGTAAACCATGTGATTGAACTAGCTGACGGTACTAAGACCACCGGAGTGGCAGGAGCCAGGGGGGATGCAGCGGTCTCTCTGGTACAGTGCCTTGTTAAAGTATTCGGCCCCCTTGAACCTTTCAACATTTCGCCATATTTCAGGCTTCAAACATAAAGATATAAAAATTTAATTTTTCGTCATGAATCAACAACAAGTGGGACACAATCGTAAAAGTGGAATGAAATTTGTTGGATAATTTAAACTTTAACAAATAAAAAACTGAAAAGTGGGGCGTGCAATATTATTCGGCCCCTTTACTTTCAGTGCAGCAAACTCAGTCCAGAAGTTCAGTGAGGATCTTTGAATGATCCAATGTTGTCCTAAATGACTGATGATGATAAATAGAATGCACCTGTGTGTAATCAAGTCTCTGTATAAATGCACCTGCTCTTTGATAGTCTCAGGGTTCTGTTTAAAGCGCAGAGAGACCCATGAAGACAAAGGAACACACCAGGCAGGTCCGAGATACTGTTGTGGAGAAGTTTAAAGCCGGATTTGGATACAAAAAGATTTCCCAAGCTTTAAACGTCTCAAGGAGCACTGTGCAAGCAATTATATTGAAATGGAAGGAGTATCAGACCACTGCAAATCTACCAAGACCCGGCTATCCCTCCAAACTTTCATCTCAAACAAGGAGAAGACTGATCAGAGATGCAGCCAAGAGGCCCATGATCGCTCTGAATGATCTGCAGATAACTACAGCTGAGGTGGGGATGGTGTGTTCAGGGTGATGAGCTGTGTTGCTTTTACGCCAAACATATCGTTTTGCATTGTGGCCAAAAAGTTTGATTTTGGTTTCATCTGACCAGAGCACCTTCTTCCACATGTTTGGTGTGTCTCCCAGGTGGCTTGTGGCAAACTTTAAACGAGACTTTTTATGGATATCTTTGAGAAATGGCTTTCTTCTTGCCACTCTTCCATAAAGGCCAGATTTGTGCAGTGCACGACTGATTGTTGTCCTATGGCCAGACTCTCCCACCTCAGCTGTAATCTGCAGTTCATCCAGAGTGATCATGGGCCTCTTGGCTGCATCTCTGATCAGTCTTCTCCTTGTTTGAGATGAAAGTTTGGAGGGAGTTTGCAGTGGTCTGATACTCCTTTCATTTCAATATAACTGCTTGCACAGTGCTCCTTGATATGTTTAAAGCTTGGGAAATCTTTTTGTATTCAAATCCGGCTTTAAACTTCTCCACAACAGTATCTCGGACCTGCCTGGTGTGTTCCTTTGTCTTCATGGTTCTCTCTGCGCTTTAAACAGAACCCTGAGACTATCAAAGAGCAGGTGCATTTATACGGAGACTTGATTACACACAGGTGCATTCTATTTATCATCGTCAGTCATTTAGGACAACATTGGATCATTCAAAGATCCTCACTGAACTTCTGGAGTGAGTTTGCTGCACTGAAAGTAAAGGGGCTGAATAATATTGCACGCCCCACTTTTCAGTTTTTTATTTGTTAAAAAAGTTTAAATTATCCAATAAATTTCGTTCCACTTCACGATTGTGTCCCACTTGTTGTTGATTCATGACAAAAACTAAAATTTGTATATCTTGACATAAAGTGACAGCACTACAGAAGAATGCTCTGTATATACATTTACCTACTTTTCCAAAGGACATTTTCTCAGTGAAGGCAGCCACAGACAACGGGGTAGAATTGCGTTTCAGAGAGGGTAACAACTGGATGAGTGTAATGGATGGCACCAGATCTAACATTGAGACCCACAGTAAACTGTATTATCTGCCCACAATTATTGATGCAAATATCAACAAGTTCAAGAGACATATACAGACGCGGCACAGAATACTTGGCCACTGTAACTTTGACGATGTTTCGAGACTGGAGAGTGTGGTTGAACGGATGACAATCAAGGGAAAATGTAACACATCTGCCTCCAGCTGTGAAATCTGTATGGAAGGGAAATTTGTAGATGAGAGAAAAAAAACAGGCTGATAGCTAGCCCTGTCACGATTGCAAATTTTGCTGGACAATTAATTGTCTCAGAAATGATTGCGATAAGTGATAATATTGTCGTTCTGAGATCATTTTCATCTGATACAATGTTAATGATGCAGGTACACCTTTTCAAAGAGAAATACACTTTTATTTTTAAAGACCACCGCCGGAAGTGGCAGAAGTAAAAAGCCGCTAGCATCATGCTAGCGGCTTTTCTGTAAAGTTCTTGCCAATAATGCAGCTCTGCAGCGTCTCTTTGTCCAGAGACCTTCCAGAAACTTTCTATAACAGCAGTATGTGTTCACGGTAGTGATGCGCGGGTCAGCTTTTTTTACAACCAGACCCGCCCGCCCCAAATTAAAACTCAACCCGGCCCGCCCTGAACCCGCAGACGTTAAACTACTGTTTTGCTTGTCGAAATCAAATGACAACTCTTTTTCAGATAAGACAACATAAAATGTTTGTTCTACAGGACGGATCAGGACATCTTTTACATTTCCTTAAAGATAACATTTCCATGGGTTCGGAACAAATAACTGTTAATGTCAGGCTGGTTATTGAAAATGTATTTTGCTCACTGGAAGCACTTGTGGCCTAGATGCACAAAAACAGATTTTGCCACAAGTGATTAACTAGGGTAATTACGTTGGAGATCTATCCAAAAAGAGAGAATATCGTTATAGCAAGAGAAATATTGGTAATATAACACTGAACGTCATCATCTGCCTCAAACGGCTCCTCTGGTGATTCTTCCTACTCAGCAAAAAGCTGACGCCTTTTCTCTGGCATATCATAAATACATAAATATAATTATCATAATGAAGATGCTTTCAAATAATATAACAAGCTGTAAACTATTTATTTTATAACTCCACACGGCTCCTCCCCTGCCAAACTTCTCTCGCTGCTCTCCATCTCCTCCGCAAACCACAACCAGGAAAAGGAATTATTCACTCAGGAGGCCCCCGTGTGAGCTCTCCGTTTAGTTCATATTTTAAATGTTTTTAGTATACATGTTGCTGATATTTTAATACATTTTGGGGATACTCTTAGTTGACTTCTTAATATTGATTCAGTGTTCTTATTCATCACAATCTTACATACAAACAAGCGACGATTAAATTGAAAGTCGTTAGCACTGAGGCTACCACGAGTCCACAACGAAACTACGTCCTACTTTAAATTAGAAAGTCGGAAAAACACGGACGATGGAATGTGACAATGTAATAAGTGCCAAAAATGAAATTAGCCGCCTCACCTCGGAGCTACAGGAGAGCGATCGTGCTACTGTTACTCATCTCCGTAAGGAAGTTCTGCGTCTCACTGCAGAGTTGCAGGACAAACAAGCGCTTGTGTCCAAACTTCTTGAAGTTGCCGGTGGCCAACATTCACAGTTGCTGTCGTTGAGTGCAGCATATTACGATACAGTTGTTTGGGAGAAGTCCATTCATCCTGGGCCTTTGTGCTCAACTCCCAAGCTCCCGGCTTTGGATAATAAACGAACGGGCTGCGTCGAATCATCCAGTGCTGCTGTGGCTCATGTCCTGAGCCTCTCAAACCGATATGCAGTCCTCTCCCCTGACATTCCGGCTCCATCATCGGAACCACTGGATCAGCAGGCACACTGTACCCCGGACTCCACAGATGACCCCACTGCTCCACGCCAATCTAAATCTGTCACCAGAAAGACGCTCTTAAAGGAAGCAGTCATGAGGCGAAAGAGTGGTCCCCCATCTCTCCTAGCCCGGTCCGCTTGTCTGATCCCACCACAGCAGCCTCAACGTGAGGAAGTGAGCTATCACAGCCGCTCTCCTCCACCGGGTCAGCAGCAGCGCCCTGAGCCAGCCCCTCTGGACTCACCAACTTCCCCGATAACACAGAGAGGTAACACAGAGTTACCCAGACAGAAAAGTGAACATGCCCGATGCTCCCCATGTGCGGGGAAGCGCTCAAGTTCGGATCTTGCTTTGGATGAGCCCGCTGGTTCTGTCCATCGAGCGCCCTCTCCGCGGCCGCGTCCACTTTTTGCCCCAACGTCTTTGATTATGGGAGATTCCATCATAAGACGCGTTCGCTTTTTTAACGCAGTCACTCACTGTATTCCCGGCGCTACTGTCCCAGACCTCCTCATACGTCTCCCTCCTCTGCTTCGCTCTCTGCCGGAAACTATCTCCAAGCTGATCGTTCATGTGGGGATAAACGATATAAAACTGCAGCAGTCCGAGGTCACAAAGAAGCATTTTATGGATCTTTTTCGCCTCCTCCAATCCTCCGGTTTGTCTGTATTTATATCTGGTCCAATCCCAACCGTAAACCGGGGTGACTGTCTCTACAGTCGTGTCGTGGCGTTGGACATGTGGCTCCAGTCTACATGTAGATCCTTTAACTTTGCCTTTGTAAACAACTTCGGCCTTTTCTGGAGGCGTCACGAAGCCTATCGTTCGGATGGTCTCCACCCCAACAGATACGGCAGCAGTCTGTTGATGGACTATATTCGCCACGTTGTACAATGCTGCCAGAGGGAGGCGTGACTGTTTACATCTGAGCCCCCTTGGCCCCCACCACATCTCTCCGCCTACCCCTCACAAACACCGGGTGAGTACAATGGTGCAAACAGTGACTCCTATCTGTCTGGCAGTATAACTCCAGTTCTTCCACTGAACCGTGCAGCCTCTCGCTCTGAACAACAGAACACCTGTGAGAATTTTGGCCCCAAACAACCACAAAAGCTTTCACACCCTAAACTGATAGAGACTGTGCACATTCCCCGCTCCAGCTCAAAAGTAATATTTAATCTTAAAAGAGCTACTTCAGGCGTTAGACATAAAAACTTAATACAAATTCCTACCCAAGCTACCAGTCCTAAGAATATGCTTGTGAAATGTGGTCTACTAAACATTAGGTCACTCTCTTCTAAATCCCTCCTTGTAAATGAATTAATCGGTGACTCCAATCTTCAGTTACTTGCCCTTTCTGAGACATGGCTCCAGCAAGACGACTATGTCAGATTGAATGAATCCACACC